TGGCTTTATTACCATTGCAGAGAACTCAGAGGCTTAATTTAAAAGTTTAGACTTTCACTGCAAACCAAATAAGCAAAAATAATTTTAACATAGGCAGTGAGTGCTTTTGTAAATTAAAGCCAGTGATATTTTTGATTCCGGTGTCATTCATATTAACATGTATGTAGATTGTTTAGCTACACAGGTTTCAGGAATAGTTTATTCTGATTATACACTATTTTAGCTGTGCTAGTTTCATGTCTTTTTTTATTAGTCTTTTTTCCCTCATAATTTTATCATATTTTTTAAATTAATATTAACTCCATATATTTGAAGTAAGTCTCTAATGCTCACCAAGGCTGCATTTATTTGACAAAAAATACAGCAGAAGCAGTAATATTGTGAAATAGTATTGAAATTTAATATTTTAAAATATAATTTATTTCAGTGATGGCAAAGGTGAAATTCTAGCAGCATTACTCCAGTCTTCAGTGTGTCACGATTCTTCAGAAATCATTCTAATATGCTGATTTGGTGGTCAAGAAACATTTATTGTTATTATTATTAATATTAAAAACAGTTGTGCTGCTTGTTTTATTTATTTAATTTCAGGAAGCTTTCAGGAAACTCCGATTCAAACAAACAGATGAAAAGATGAAAAGAAATTTCAGAAGAACAACATATATTTGAAATATACATATTTTTTTAATAATGTAAAAGTAATTACTGTCATGTTTGATTAGTGGCATCCTTATTAAATAAGTATTAATTTAAATAATAAAAAGTCTGAATGACTCATAAATGGAGGACCACATTGGGCAGCAGTTTAAAAAAACTGGGTTGTTTTTCAGGGGTGTTGTGGTTTCACCACCAGATTTTGTGGTAAATACTTGGAGCCGTTCCTCAGTCTAAGCAGTGTGAGCTCCTTACCCAGACTCTGTGAGCTCATGCGAAGACGCACTGTTTCCCACATTGGGGAAGTCAAGTTCTTCTCTGTGTATGTTTGAGCATGTGTGCAGTGTGCAGCTAGACATATGTTTACAGCTGTGACTTTGTGACTCATGATTACTAGGGCAATGTAAACAAATCATGCAGTGACATACGGTAAGGCTCATTACCAGGACTTTTGTTCCATTACACTAGAGGTATCAGCCATTTCGCCTGCCTTTTTATTCTCGTAGAGGCCTGAACGCTTGTGAATCTGGGCTGCT